GAGTGACCTGGGATCAGGAGTGACCTGGGATCAGCAGAGCTGGGATCAGCAGAGCTGGGATCAGCAGAACTTGGCCTGTCTCTCCTCAGGAGCTGCTGATTTTTGTCGCTGCCCTGACTGGCCACTGTTCGTTCCCTGCTCCACTGGAAAGGCCGTGGCTCCAGCGGTGGGAGCAGGGCTGGTACCACAGTGATCCCTGGCTGGATCCTGGCACTTCGTTTTCTTGATGTTCCCGTGCTTGGGCAGCTCTGAAAGGAGAGAGCCCCGGGCTGGGGTGCTGAACAGTGGCCCCTTGTGTTGCTGCAGGCCAGGCTTTCTCCTCTAACAATATTCCTTTGATCGTCTGTGTGCCAGCCCTTTTCCCGACCTGTGGAATCTCACAGCACAATTGCTCAAAGTCAGCCCAGCAGCAGCAGCAGCCAGGCAGGGTTATGGCTGTGTTTAGAAAACGTCCCAAGTGCACACAAAGATTGCTTTAAAAAGAAAATATCAAACTGCCCAGGCACTGTTGGGGTAGAATTGAGGTCTTCTGTCCAATGATTTGTTTTGCTTCTTTTCATCTGTTTGGTCACCGTGGTGTTTCTGCCCCCAGGTGAAAGCGGGGCTGGGAAAACTGAGGCCAGTAAATACATAATGCAGTACATAGCAGCCATCACCAACCCCGGGCAGAGGGCTGAGGTGGAGAGGTAAGGCCTGGGCTGGAAAAGAAGGGAAATTCTCCTGCTTGTGGATCTCATTCTGTGGGCTATGTATCACCACGTTATCAGATGGTCTCTTGTACATGCTGATTTATACTTAACTTTTTCAGGTACTGCTTTTACTCTGGGAATATTGCAGTATTAATTGCTGAAATCATATTGAAAAGTTTATTTTGAAAGTTCAAACTTTCAAAATCAAAGCAGCATCAGAAATACTATCCAGCCAATATCAACTATCTAATGGCAGGGCTCAATGATCTTACAAGTCTTTGCCAACCTAAATGATTCTAAATCCCTTATCCTAGGGCAAATTGCCTGAAATTTGGGTGGGCTAGAACACCATGTGAAGTGCAAGGAGTGTATTCCATGACCTTCCAGGCTCACATGATGAATTGCAAAGTGTCCCTCTCTGTCCTGGAGTAAAAGTTTTGGAGCAAAGAATGTGGCTCTCTGCAGAAATAGACTTAAACCTACCCCAAATGAACTTATGAAAATTACTTGAAAAAGAGTTCAGAAAATTGGTTTCAGAATTCAAATGTGTATAGAAGCTGAATTTCTGGTGCTGATTTCAGAGTGGAGGTCTGGTCTTTGAACCAGAGAGCATTTGGTTGCTGACAGCTCCCAGCTGATTTCCCATGGGATTGCTGATGTCTTCCACATCTGCCCAAATCTGCCATCAAAGAGCATCACTGCTGTCATTGAATTCTTCTGGAGAAATGGCTGTGAAAAAAAATCCCATGGTGTGAGTGTTGAAGTCTTACCCTGTTTCCTTTTGCATCCATCCATCCATCCCTGCTGCAGAGTGAAGAACATCCTGCTGAAATCCAACTGTGTGTTGGAGGCCTTTGGCAATGCCAAAACAAACCGCAACGACAATTCCAGCCGCTTCGGAAAGTACATGGACATCAACTTTGATTTCAAGGGAGACCCCATAGGTGGGCACATCAATAATTACCTGCTAGAAAAGGTAAGGCACCCTCTCTTTCATGGTTACAGCCTTTGCTGGAGTCACTTTTGCAGTCTGGGCTTTGCAAGTAGAAATCAAATGTACAGCAGGTGAGGTATGAGGGCACGGAAAAATAAATCCAGGGCTCAGGAGTCAGGAAAGCCACTGCAGTGCTCACCAGCAATGGGCCTGTGTTACCCAGAGGATTCTGTGTGTGTGGGTGTGTGAAGTTTAATCTCAGTTTTTATTTTGAATACAATTTACCCTCTGCACAGCTCCTGCTTTTTAATTCCTGCACTGAGCTCCCCCTGGAGAAGATCTCCAGGGCTGGAGGGAGCAAGTGTGCTTGAGAAGTGTTATTTTGGAATAATGCCACAGGCTTGGCTGAGCTGTTGGTAGCATTGTTTTTATATATATTCTAAGTGATCCTGAGCACAATTATTTTTTTGTGTCATTAAGTAGTGTCTGAAAACATTGGAATATGCAAAACTGGAGAACTGAGGCGTGAGCCGTTCACAGTTCTTGCTGTGTGAGACACGTCTGGCTTTGATTATGTGTTTGACCACATCTGCCAACACCCTTTTTTGTTTGTGTTTCTTTTTTACTTATCCCCTTATTTCCCTGAAGTCTATTTTCAGAATAAACACTTTATTTTAAAAAACAAAACAACAAACCCAAACATTTAGCTTGAGATACTTTAATGTAAAAAGAGAGCTGGGACTGCAGCTGCAGTGACTTAAATCCTGATGATTTATTTATCCTGATTGTTTATTTCATATTCTTAACTTCTCCCAAGTTAAATTTGTTTCCATTTGAAAGCAGTGGAGGCTGCTGGGCTCTGGCCCAAATACAAGCAGTAACAGACAGTGGCTTTACAGCAGGAACACATCAAATCATGGAATATCCTGAGTTGGAAGGGGCTCACCAGGATCATCCAATCCAAGCCCTGGCCCTGCACAGACACCCCCAAATCCCACCCTGAGCATCCCTGGCAGTGTTGTCCAAACACTCCTGGAGCTCTGGCAGCCTCGGGGCTGGGACCATTCCCTGGGGAGCCTGGGCAGTGCCAAAACCCTCGGGGGGAAGAACCTTGCCCTGATACCCAGCCTAAACATCCCCTGGCACAGCTTTGTTCCTCATCACTCTTCATAGTTCAAACTTGTAGCATAAAATAAGGACACATTGCTTGTTGGCTGAATGTCTGCTGCATTTAACCCTTTTTTTTTGTGCTGTTTTACTCTGATCTGGAATGAGGATTCTGGAATGGAGCTACAGCTCCCTAAAACAAGGCCCTTGTGTCAGAACAGAGCATTCCCTTGTACAGCTGGGTGCTGTGGGCAGCCTGTCCAGGGGGTGTAGGAGTGGTGACCACTAGGCCCTGAGCATTTATCTGTAGTCACAGACTCCTGGTTTTCATTTCCAGTGATTAAATAATTCTAAAACTAAAATGATGTTTTATTTGACTCTTCCATGAAAGCAACCCTGTGGTTCCCACATGGCATTCCTGGGTGGAAGCAGGATGTTGCAGCAGTTACACAAGCTGGTGGTTTTGACTGTAGAGCTCAAGCTCCAAGGTCACATGTGTGTGATGGTATTCCCAAGAGCCTAAGTGTGAGATGGGATGGATTTGGGGTGTCTGAAGGGATGTCACTAACACCCAGCTCTGTGCTTTGTTCCCCCAGTCCCGTGTGATTGTGCAGCAGCCTGGGGAACGAAGCTTCCACTCCTTCTACCAGGTTTGTGTTCCTTTGCTGGAGCAGTGACTTGTCCCCAGCTTCCCAGACACTTTGGGCAGAGCACTCAGGGCTTTCACCCTCTCGTGTGTTTTGCAGCATCTTGGGTGATCTTGGGTTCTTCAGTTCTCTGTGGGGGCCTGGGCTGGGAGGGAGCCTGGGAAGATGGATTGTTTTCTATCCTCCAGTCCCATATTAACACATTTCTAAACTTTAAAGGAGGCTGACTAAACAAATATGGTAGGATATTGGACTTTGACTCACTGTTTTATTTGCAATAAGCCTAATCCCTTTATTTTTTCATGAGGCCTTTAGTCCATATGGAAGTAGTTTTATGACACCAAGTTGACTTTTTTGGTTTTTTGGATGCTCTTTAATGTCTTCCACATTGTGTGGTGGTTTCCTGTGTGTCCTTTGGAGAATATGGTCAGCCTATTAGTATAACCTTGATTCTGCACTGAGGGAAGGGGAGGTTTGTTTACTTTTTTCCCACTTTTTCAGTACTCCATGATGACATGTTAGCACTTTCCTTAGGGATGTGTCATTTCCAGGAGGAAAAGTCTCTGTGTGGGCAATATGCTTTCCAAGGCACAGCTGTGGCATGGCACAGGTGTGAACAGGTCTGTGAGGGCTTCAGGCTGGTTTTTATCCAGTTGTGACTCTAAAGGACAGTGAGTTGTGGTGGCAGAGCCCTGCACCAGTGCAGGCTCTGCATCTTGCACATTGTGCTCCAGGTATTGTGGCAGTAATTAATATTTTCATGATTTTTCTTGTCAAGCAAATGAATAAAAGACAGAAAAAAGAAGGATTTTCTATTTTTAATTCACTATTTCTTAAAATTCTCTTCATGCAGCTCCTGCAAGGAGGCTCTGAGCAGCTCCTGCGTTCTCTGCACCTCCAGAAGGATGCATCAGCCTACAGCTACATCTGCCCTGGGGCACAGCTCAAGGTGAGGGGGCTGAGGGACCCAGGGACAGCTTTACATTGCAAGTGCTGCTGGAAATGCCCAAAGCACTGCTGAGCTAGCAGAAATTGAGATCAGTGGGGATGAATATGGAAAGGTGACACTGGTATGCTGCTTGTTATGAAGTTTCTGTCACTACAAGATAAAGCACAAGTGTAGTTAGAATCATAGAAAAGATATACCTCTATTCTGCTTAAAAAATACAAATATACCTGTGCATGTTGCATGTGTCTGTTTATAAACAGCAATAAAATGATTTAGTAATAAATGCAGGTGTGGATATTTGACCCATTACCAGTGGCAGACATTCCATGCTCCATAATAGGTACCTTAAACTGCCTTCTGGACCAAAAAGCCAATAGGACTCATTTTTTTGCAGCAGGATCTTTGACTTATTGAAGCACTGAGTCTTCATGTCTGACTTGTCCTCAAGGGGGAACTCTGAGCAGGAAAGAAGGGAACAAACCCATAAAGATTTTAGACAACAAGATCCTGAGCACTTCAGATACATCTGAAGTTGTCTCTAGTGTTGTCCCTTTGAAGCAGGGTCCAGACCGAGGTTCTCTGATCTCCTAGGTGCTTTTGTGAGATGCACTTTGGTACAGAAACCCAGAGATTTCTCCCATACCAGATGATTCTCTCTAAAAATGTGCCTTGAAAACAAGCCCAGGAGGCTGCAGGGAGGGAGGGAGAGGCTGATCTTGCACAGAGAACTGGTGGAGAACAGAGATTTCCTGCTGGTGCTCTGCAGCCTCTGCTCAGAGGGTCTGTGACTGCACAAATTATCCCTGTTCTTCTGGGATTTTTTATGAACCTTTCTCAGCAAATTCCACTGGGAAATTTATTGTGCTGTGGTGGATTTCTGTGTCTCCTGCTGCCAGAATACATGTGTGCAATGCAGGATTCAGTGTCCAAGTACACAAGATGGCATTGGAATAAGCTGGGAAACCTCATGACAGTGTCTTGCCTCTGAGAAACATCAAAGTGCATCTCTGTTTCCCATGGGCTTGTGAAATCCTTGCTCCCTCACAGCTGAGTCCCATTAAACCCCCCATCCCAAACTCCTCTCTCCCCTCAGTGTTCCATCAATGATGGGGCGGAGTTCAAGGCAGTTGCTGATGCCATGAAGGTGATTGGCTTCAAGCAGGAGGAGATCCAGACTGTCTACAAAATCGTGGCAGCCATTCTGCACCTGGTAAGCTCCCTGGCCATGGGTATCCATCCCTGAACCCATCCCTGGTTCCTCAGGAGGGTTTGTGCTGCCAGCAGCTCTGATTGTCCTGCTGCAGAAGCCTTTGGAAGCTCTAGTGGCTCAGAAGGTGTGTCCAGTTCACAGCTGCAGTGGTGAGAGAAAGGAACAGGGCACTGCAGTGATGATCACATGTATTCCTGCATGTTCCACATCCCAAACCAGACATACCACTAAGTACTGGGAGCTGTTAAATGTTCTGAATAAGGAACTGTTGGGGTTTGGCAGTGAGGGGATAGGGAGCTTCTGTCCCTTTGTGCCCTCACACCTTCACCATAGTGATTCTGCTTCACTTCATGGTGAAGGTTGAGCACAGGAAACACAGGAGACCTCTTAATTCTTTGTGTTCTGAGGCTGAGGAGATCCTTCCTTCTCATGGATCTTTCTGGGAGCCACAGAGCCTCCTCCCCTGCACAGTGTCCCTGCAGCTCAGCACTTGTGCTTCCCTGAGGAAAGAGGTGGGCAGGAGGAGGGTGGCAAAGAACGACTTTGTTCCAGTTCCTTCTGTTCCTTGGAATGGCAGTGCTGGGAAGGAGGGAAGGGAGGCAGAGCTGAGTGGGGCTATGCAGGCAGGCTGGGGGACAGCCCTCTGCTGGACCACCAAGGGGTGTCACTGCTGAATCCTGGCACAGAAGATACTCAGGAGCAGAGCTGTGCTGGTGGGGTGCTGTCAGTCCAGTCCCACTGGCACTGACCTCTCAGCTTCCCCATGCCATTCCCATTCCCCCTGTGGCAGCAGCACTGCCAGGGCAGCTGCAGCCAGTGATGAACTGTAGTGAAGATAAATGCTATGTCCAGCATCTGCATACATGGTGCAATTCCCTATCCCTGCACTCTGAATCTTGGGATGGTGTTTGATTAAATCTCAGGAAATGTTTGATGTTGTTTGTCCCTAAAGCTGAGCTGAACACTGAGCAGGAATGCTTTGCTTTGAGAAAGCCTTTGCTGCTCCAAACCAGCTCCAACTGACATTGGAGGTTTGAGGGTGTGGATGTGCCACACCTTCCAGTGTAGCAGGAGATTTCTGGCCTGGAATAGCAGGTGGAAAATGGATGGACTTAGAGTGTGCTGATCCCTGTTAAAGTAAAGGGCAGATGGAGAAACGCTGCTGATTGCAGGGGAACCTGAAGTTCTATGTGGATGGAGACACTCCCATCATCGAGAACAGCAAGGTGGTGTCGGTCATAGCTGACCTCCTGTCCACCAAGGCCGAGCTGGTGGAGAAGGCTCTGCTGTTCCGGACAGTGGCCACGGGCAGGGACGTCATCGACAAACAGCACACGGAGCAGGAGGCCACCTATGGCAGAGACGCCTTTGCAAAGGTGAGTTCAGCGCCCTCCTCTGCTGAGTGTGTGCCACTCACCCACACGTCCCTGCTGCCTTTCCTTTCGTTGGGGTGTGCAGCAAAGAATGGCCGTGCCCAAGGGAGACAGTGCTGCCAAAATTTTTCAGTGCTCAGTCCCAGGAGGATTCTTGGGTGGGTCACTAAGCACAGGGCTTGCTGTACATCCTGCAGATTTCTCTCTGAACCTGCATGCTCCTGAGTTCTCTAGGGGTCTGTGGTACCTGCCTATCCCTGCCAGCTCCCACAGCCAGCAGTGCCAGGCACACTGAGGAGGGGACGGGCTGCAGGCTGGGCTGGCATCTGCAAATGTGTCATACAGGAAGCAATTTGCTCTGAAATGGGATCCTCAACTCCATTTTGCAGTTAAATTCAAAGAGTAGAGTGGAACTGTAACATCTAGAATTCCGGTTGGAAACACGAAATGTTATTTTTAAAAGTTTTTTTTAAATAAGTGTAGAATGGTTTGGGACATTAAATCTTGTTCCAACCCCCTGCCAGGGGCAGGAACATCATCCACGGGAAAGGTGAATACTGATGGCAGGAGTGACAATTGTTCCTCCTCTGCTAAGAAATCAAATTATAAGAGAGGAATGGATGAAGTTATGAATGCCATTGATTAATAACTTGATTTCTTTTCCTGAGATAATGTATTTAGCCAGCTTCACAGCACATTTTGAACATGAAGACTTTGAAGACACCTCTGCCTACAGAACATTATCTTTGTGAAAGGTGAACAGGATTATTTTCCTGTCATTGTGTTCAGTTGTTGGGTTTCTGTGACTGACCTCTCTCTTGCTCTTCACTATTGTTAAATAATTCTCAGGAGTGGTACTTATTAGGCAGCTGAAAAGCTGACTGGAATCAAATTAGGGAACTGCTGCACCCAGTGACCTCTCTGGGATTTCGACTTGGTATAAATGAGTTTTGGAAGAAAGAAAAGAAATACTTCCATAGAATATTTTCTCCAGTCAGTAGCTGCTCACTTTCAGCAGAACATGACCTGTATCTTTGGTGGAGGCCTGGAATGAGCTGTGTTGAATTTCCTGGGAAGAGCTGAGGCGGGTGCAGGCAGGAGCCCTCAGTCTGTGTTTCCTGCAGGCCATTTACGAGCGTCTCTTCTGCTGGATTGTGACACACATCAACGATGTCATCGAGGTGAAGAACTACGACACCACAGTGCATGGCAAGAACACAGTCATTGGGGTCCTGGATATCTATGGCTTCGAGATATTTGACAATAACAGGTGAGCCACCTTCTAAAGCCCAGTGTTGTGCCACCTTCTAAAGCCCAGTGTTGTACTTTCGCCTTTCCCAGAACACTCATCACCTTTTCTTGCCATGGTTTTGCAGTTTTGAACAATTCTGCATTAATTACTGCAATGAGAAGCTGCAGCAGCTCTTCATTCAGCTGGTTCTGAAGCAGGAGCAGGAGGAGTACCAGCGAGAGGGAATTCCCTGGAAGCATGTGAGTGCTTTGGCAAGGGAGGGAGAGGTCGGTGTGAGGTCAGTGTACCAGCACAAGGATCTGAAGTTGCTCCACGTGCAGGCTCCAGTGGATGGGACATCTGTGTCCCTGCCAGGCTGGGATCAGGCTGGGCCAGGAGCTCCCCAGTCACCTCACCACATGTCTCCTTGGGAAAATAAGGCACTACAGGTCTGAGATAAAACCTATTGTGGCACCTTTGTGATACCATACACATAACTGTGGGTTTCTGTGCTGAGTGCTATGGATTTTTCTAGTTGTTGATAGTAACATGTAAAAATCTTATTTTTCCTGTTCAAACTCTCTTCAGAATGCCAAGGACAGCATGTGCAGTGTCACTGTAACGACTGCACACAGCTGAATTGTAAAAGACATTTTAAAGGGCATTCTGCAGCAGAGATCTTGAGATGTATCTGAGAGGTTTGAAAAATAACTTTCATTGCTGTTCAGTGTAGGAGAGCAGCCTGCTTTATCTAGAATCAGATCTGCACATTCAGAGCTGATTGCTCCTTGCTGTCACACTGACTGCTATGGCCAGCACTGGTACCCTCCCATTTCTGCAGCCAAGGTCACCAACACCCCTGTCCTTTGTTTCCTGCAGATTGATTACTTCAACAACCAGGTTATTGTGGACCTGGTGGAGCAGCAGCACAAAGGGATCATTGCCATTCTGGATGATGCCTGCATGAATGTGGGGAAAGTCACAGATGAGATGTTCCTTGATGCCCTCAACAACAAACTGGGGAAGCACGCACACTTCTCCAGCAGGAAGGTAACTCACAGACCTTGCTGTCCTCTGCCCTCCCTTCCCCACGTTCTGAGGGGGAATGGAACGAGGAAACGGGGCTTAGGGCTGGCTGGGTTGGAATCACTGCAACTGAGTGTGAGATGGAGAGCCCGGAGCAGCTCCAGCCGCAGAGGAACCCGGCAGAGGGAGCTCCAGCATGTGCAGTGGCTCATCCCTTTTATTCCGGGATAAAAGGAGCCTGAGCTCGTGCCTTGACATATCATGATGTCATCTGGAACCAATCGATGCGCCGGCTCAGCCCACGTGTTGTTCTTCCCAGGCTGCTCTAATACATAGTGACAGTGAAATTATTCACACTCCTGCATTATTACAGCACTGTGATTTGGGCTTTTTTCATCAGCATTGGCTGCAGAACATGCTCGTCTCCCACTGCAACTCTGAGCACCCAGGCCCCTCGCCTGGCTTTGTCTGGGCTACAATGGGCGAATTAAAAGGCTTCATTTATTCCTCACTTGGCAGCAGATTGCAAAATGGTCACCAGCCTGATTAATTTGAGACTCTTTCACACAGAGTAATCAAATAAGGGCCTTTAGTTTATTGATGTCTCTTTACTCAGAAACATTGTCTGAAATGTATGGCTCAGAGTGCTGGTCCCCCCTGCTCCCTCCCACCTCAGCACAATATTTTATGTAGGTCAGAAATACCAAATTAGCCTGGTTGTGTAAGATATGTGTTAAAGGCTGCCGTTGGGAGGCCCAAGATAAACAATGGATCTGGTTGGGGCTGTCTGAGGAGAGGCCAGGATGAAAGTAAACCTGAACTGCTTTTTCCTCCCAGATACTGCTTTCCTTAAATGCAGTTTTGCTGCAGCACACCTGATGTCTCACCTGCCACGTGCACCCGAGCTCAGGGAGGGGGACAGGGAGCTCCATTCCAGTGTTTGACCCAGATCTCACTGCTCGAGCAGTGACATGGAACGTGCTGAGAAAACCCACCTGGAAACAAGTGTGAGGCCTGGCCTGGGTTCCTGCTTGAATGCAAGCTGCTTCCTTCAGTGCTAGGACTGGTGGGATGGGATCCTGGGATCTGTGGTCTGGGATCCTCTGCAGTGGGTGCTGGGGGAGTGCTCCAGTTTCTGGAGCTATCTGGTCAGTGGATGTAGAGAGAGGAGTTTGGTTTCTGTTCTGTCCTTGCTCCCACATCTGCCCAGGGGAAGGGGCTCTGCCACAGAGGGAGCAGGTGGTCCTTTAGTGCAGTGGCAGAAGGGGATGGAATTTCAGGAGGTGCTATGGGAGGCTATAAAATGAACATTTAAAAATACAATCTGCTCAAGTCCTCGCCTTTGGGAGTCCCCTCCCAGCAAGGAGACATTAAAGGGCAGCATTGCCAGCTGCAGTGTTCCTCAGCAGGAGGTGGCCTTGTCAGAAACTGCCTGCACAGGCTAAGAAGGAGACAAGGAATTCTGCTATAAATAATATTTATGGACGGGCTGATGGATCTGCCTGGCTTGCTGATTTCTAGTTAAATCAATAGAGCCTTGAAAACATTGACCCATAAACCTCTCAGCATAATTATTATTTTTTCTCCCCCTCACATCTCTGCAGATATCCCAGCGCCTCAGAGCTTTTCCTCAGTCCCACCCAGAACTGCTGTGGGAAGCCTGAGCCTTCTGAGCCAAGCTCTTGTAACTTAGATTAAAACAAAGGGCTTGGTTCCATCTCCTGCCCTGCCTTTGCAGACTGCAGTGGTTCCATCAGATCCTGTGAGGTTCCACACAGATGGGAGCTGTTCCTGAAGAGCTGGAGTGTGTGTGTTGGGAACAGCTCCCATCCCTCAGCCCAGTTCATGCTCCACTGCTCCCTGCAGAGCACACTGCACACAGGCTCCATGTGGAGAAGCTCTAGGGGGCTGTGGTGCCCTAAATAGTCGTGTCCTACTTTGTGTACCCAGCTGCTCCACGCTGCCAGTGCCTTTGTGCTGGGGAAGGCCACACAAACCAGGAGAATGCTGGTGAACATTTCCACCAGCAGAATTTGTGGCACAATGTTGTGTTCCTGGAGCATGGGCTGTTCTCCTCATGTTTGTCTAATGCCAGTCTGGATGTGTACATGTGCCAGCTGTTCTGGTGGCCCTTCCCAGCATCACCATTTGTATCCTCAATCTCTCCAAGTTCCATTTCTTTTCTGTTGATATTATACTTTGGAAGGATCAAGTGCAGTGACAGACAGTCCATGAATGCCTCAATCTCCAAATTGTGGAGAGTATCAATCTCAACAAACTGGTGAAGGGAAGAGTATCAGAAGGTCCATTCCAGTCCACCTGGTGTTGTGTCTCTCAAGTCACTGGACAGTGGTGAATGCCCAAGTGAGAGCCCAGTATGGGACAGATGTGTACTGATAACTTGACATGCTCCCATTCTCCAGGGACCTGCAGCCCAGGAACCTCCTGGTCTCCTTAATAGTGGTTTTTTTTGTGTGGTTTTCTTGGTTTTTAAATCGACAGAGAATTCCACAGCTCAGATACTCACATGAAGAGTTCTTTCCTCCCTGTTTCCCTCCCTCCTCCCTTTTCCATTTTAGATTACACCTCTCACCTCCTAGTTTTTAAATGGCAAAACACAGTTCTCTTTGTCATCCACTACATCATCTCTGGGCATTTCTTTCCTAACCTGGGGAAGCCGAGTTCGTTGGCCCATCCTCCCAGGGCAGTCAGTCAGCAGGGCATGGGTTTGCCCTTTAAACCTCTCCCAACTCTCAGTGTCCTTTCTGAGGTGGAGGAGGGTTGTTAAGATCCCAGCTGAGTCAAGGATGTTTGGGGTCCATCAGGGGGCACATCAGTTCTGTGAACTTTGCCCTTTCTCAGTGGGAATCCCTCCCTTGCTGGGACGTTTCCTTTGCTCTGCTTTGCCCTCACTTAGCTCCGGGTGTCTCCCACAGCTCTTCCCAGCCAGCCCTCAGTGATTAAGTGCCCCCAACCAGCCCCATGACCTTCCCATTGCCCTCAGATTATGGCTCATTTCAGATGCTGGGAAAGCACAGACTCAGGGCAGGCTTCCACAGGATTCCCATCTTTCCAACACCTTTCTCCTGTCTTTATTCACCCTTGAATGCTGTGAGCTGTCAGTGAGGAGCCTCATGGAAGGGCTCACAGAAACCCAAGCAGATGATTCAGTGTATCAATGGATTTGCTGGTCTTTTTTTTCACTAATTTCAACTACTTTGTCCAGGAAACACAAATTTTGGAGAGAATCACTCCTTTGGAAAAAGCCAAACCAGCAAACAACAAAATCTGTGATTGCTGTGCTATGGCTCCTAAATCCCTGTTTGCTGTGTTATGGCTCCTAAATCCCTGATTGCTGTGTTATGGCTCCTAAATCCCTGTTTGCTGTGTTATGGCTCCTTCCAGCCTCTCCAGAGCTGGATGAGCTTTAGGAGGAGCTTGTGCTGCCAGCTGTGCCCTGCCTGGTAGCACAGACACATTTCTTTTGCCATTTGGTATTTACCCCTTTATGGAGTTGTTGGTTTGAGCTGTGTGTTTGGATGGCTGAAAAGGCACTGCCCAGCCCCGTGCTGAGAACAAAGCTACAGCAAGAAAAATGGCTTTGTTTTCCTGCTATTGCCTCGTTCCTTCATTTTCCCTGTGTTCTGCTGCACCTTGGTCATCCATCAGCTCTGCAGCTCCTGGTGCTCCCTGCCCTGCCATGCTGGACTTCCCACACCTCTGGGACCTCCTGGGGACCTTGGTACTCACACTCCTTGGGCTCCTCCTTGTGATTAATTTTGTGTAAAATATATTCTGTTTTTTTCATCTGTTCTTACAGTTTGAGCCAACCTATTTTGTGTTCTTGGACACAGGTGAATTTTTGGAGTGGATCTCCCTGCTTCTAATCATCCCTCCTGCCCTGCATTTCAGCCATGCTAATTTCCTCTTTTATTTCTTCAAGACTTTATGAGCAGATATCTGCTCATAGCCCTCGGTGGTGTTAAATGCTGCCTGCAAAGACTTAATTCATCCTCCTGCTCCTTTTGCCTATAACAAAATCCTCATTCTTATCTCATACTCCCTTTTTAATTAAGCTGACCCTGATGGATTTTTTGGCTCCTGCTATTCCTGAAGGGATGAGTGTGTTACAGCCACTGCTGCTGAACAGCTGCCACGTGGGCACTGGACATCATCTGTTGTACAGATGGGATGGGATGGGATGGGATGGGATGGGATGGGATGGGATGGGATGGGATGGGATGGGATGGGATGGGATGGGATGGGATGGGAATTTGAGCGTGGAGCAGTGGATCTGCAGGAGGATCCCTGTTTGAGGGGTGTCAGATTACCAGGAGGGATCTGAGGCTGAACAAGCCTTGCTGTTGTCACAGCACTTGGCCCATTTCTCTGCAGAGGAGTTTCACTGCAATGGCAAAAAAACATAAAGGAAGAACTTAAAAAAAGAAATAAATTAACTCGTGGGTGCAATGTTTCTCTACAGGCACGAGTGTTCTTTTGCATAATGGTGTTTCTGAGATAATATCAATTTCTTCATAAAATTATAGGCTCTTGCAGCTTCATTTGTACAAGCACATGTTCTTACAGTGCATGCATGAAAACATTTCCAGCAGTGCGTTTCACATCTGCACATACACACAGAAAGTGGAATTCCTGTCGTTCCCAGTGCTATTTTGAAGGCAGGTTGCTCTTCCATGGAGCTTGTAAATCCAGGGGTGGTGTTTTAATATCAATCCATGGGTGATATTTTAATGTATGTGAATTTATTTCAGCTTTGTGCCACAGACAAAACGCTGGAGTTCGACAGAGACTTCCGGATCAAGCACTATGCTGGAGATGTGATGTGAGTTTCCTTCAGAAATAAAGTTGCACCTTCTATTTTTGTCTTCCCAGCAGCTCTGAAGTGGTACAATATTCTGATTTACTGCTGCTTCTGGTGCAAGCCAGAATAGCTGTCACACACAATTACAGGGTGCAGTGCTTGCTTATCAATTAAATCTTCTGCTGGTGCCGTGCTCTGCAGAGTGGGAATTTGTTCTTGGAGTGAAACAAAAGGAGAGTGAGGTGTGGGGGGTGAGGGGAGAGCAGTGCTCCGGGGAAAAAAAAAAGGGAAAAAAGGCAGCAGTGTTTATGCAAGAAAGCTACACTGAGCTAATAAAATGTGGTTTAGACATCTGTTTGGTGTGATTATATAACTCTGGCTTTACATTCTCCAATCAGTTGGAGCAGGCTGGAAGCACAGGGGAGTGATAACCTGCAGGAGGGATCAGGGCAGGAGGGTTGGGAAGTGCTTGCCTGGAGCCTCAGGAGCAAGTGCAGGAGGTGACAGCAGTGGGAAGGGAGAGTGAGTGGAAGTGAAGGATGCACATGGTAGAAACCATTTGCTGGGAAAGCTGTTGTGTGGAATATCACTGGAGTCATTTAGTGGTTTAGGATTTGTGTAACTTCCCATGTCAGAAAAAAGGGAGTTACTGAGGAAATAATTCATGGTTTCTTTTACCTTGGGATTAATTTTGCCTTTAATTTCCAAGGACAACCAGTGTGATCAGGTTATCCTCTGGAGTCTTTGCTGAGCAATTCCTGACAGACATCCTTGATTTCAGGGGTTTTGGAGAAGAAAATATAGGTGCTGTCTTAGTGATTGAACCTTCTGAACTGCCAGTGGCTGACAAATGGTGTAAGAGAAAACTGAAATGTGGAAGGAATCACAGATAGTTCAGGCTCAGATGTTACATGGAGTCCTAAGACTTGGGGGTGTGCAGGCCCTCACACAGGGTGCCCAGGGCAGCTGTGGCTGCCCCTGGATCCCTGGAAGTGCCTGAGTTGTGTCCTGGGTTGGACACTGGGGCTTGGAGCAGCCTGGGACAGTGGAAGGTGTCTCTGCCCATGGGACTGGATGCCTTTTAAAACGTCCTGTCCATGGCTGTGATTTGATGATGGCTCTGTACAGGGATTTGCAGGTTGTGGGTTGATCCCAGAGCCTGCAGGTTGGGATCTGGAGCTCAGGAAACATCTGTGTGGGGGTCACTGAATGGATAGATTTTGAACCTTTTCCATGAGGACAGAGCACTGCCTGCCTTGAGATTTGGAGAAGAGATGAAACCCTGAAACAGTGACCTCCTGGAGTGGCATTCCTGTGGGAATAGAGGAAGGAAGGAAGGAATCTAAATGTGTGTTTCTGTGTGCATTGATTTCCAGGGGAGCTCCCCAGTCACTCTCAGAGGCTACTCTGGAATTCTGACTCTCTCTACCAAGAGAGGGGCATTCTGCACAGATTGAAAAACAAACCTGAATTTCTCTGGGATTTAACACAAACACACTCACTTTGGAGACAGAATCCTGGGTGTAACTCCTGAATCTGGGCCATCTCCCCCCTGCCCAAGTGCTGTGATGTGTCTCAGCCAGCACCTGCACAGCTCCAGGAGCTCTCTGAAGCCACTTGTGTTGTTCCTTTGCTGGGAGCTGGGCCCAAGGATCCGAGTCTCACACTCTGCTCCTGCAGCAGTTAGTGATAGGCTTGGAGCTGGGCTGGAATAGCATCTGCTGTGTTTGTAGGAGTGCAGGGATCTGATTCCACAGTTACCCACAGCTCACAGAAGGACTTTGCTACTTTGCAATGAACTCTGGTTTTCCTTTATTTTTCAGTTACTCAGTCACTGGATTTATTGACAAAAACAAGGACACTTTATTTCAAGACTTCAAACGCCTCATGTACAACAGGTAAGAATATTAATGAGGTGAATTTTAATCTGATTTGTCAGAATCCTTTTTTGTGGAGTGATGCTATCAGATACTCAGGTTTTCAGTGATTCTGTCTTCAGTGTGTTTGAAAAAACACATTGCTTTGGGATTTGATCTTTGTACATCTCCCGTGACCAGAGGCTGTTAGTTGGATTTTTCAGGTTAAAGTCCTTATTCTGTACATGTTGTTTCTGTTCTGGTACAGCATTTAATTGAACAGAATTGAAAGTGGTTTTTTTTGGAAACCAACTGATTGTGCAATCAAGATAGTGCAGAGCTTGCCTGATTTGTCATTAACCTGTTGCAGATTTACCATCACTGCTCTGTCTGTAATCAGTGCTAGAGATACTGGGAAGCTTTGGTCAGCAACAGATATCCTTGGCCTCCCCTAAAACACCCTGTTTTGAAAGAAAATGGGGAGATAGGTTTGAATCCTTTCATGTCTGCAGTGATGTGAGAAATGCAAACCATGAGGTCACGTCTTGGGCGAAAAAAAGTTGCCTTGAGAAGCAGATTTGAAATCCTATCAGAATGTGGGTAGAAGTGCCCATGGAGCTGTTTTTCTTGACCTGGCATGAAACATGGCCTCATTTTGTATTCTGCAGCTTTCAGGGGCTCTGCTCAAAGGACAGTGGGCACAAACACCCTGCAGTGGTGGGCACTGTTGGCCTGTGCAGATGTTAAATTGGTCTGCAGTCCTTTGGGTTGACTGGCTGTGCTCCCCTGAGCAGTCCCACTGTTCCTGTTTTCAACACTTCTCACTGACCAGAAACCTTGCAAAATATTTGCTGTGTGGTTTTATCAAATTTAGCCTGTTTTCTGTGAAGTCTCTGGAAAATCCTGTTCCCAAACACCACTTCCAGCACATTAAAGCCTGTGACAAATTGGCCATTGGATTGCTGTAAATGTGCTCAGTTTTTGTCTGTTCCTGAACTCTTGCCATCCATCAGGGCCAGTTTGCCTCACCCTGAACCCTTCACAAACACAGACTAAAGTGTATAAATTACTTTATATATCAAGAGAGGTGCAGAAATGCAGCTTGAACACAGGTGACAGTTTCTAAGGGAGGGTGGTGTGGGAATTGGCTCTCCTCTATGTTGATTAAATTCCTTCTGTTGTGCCAGTGAGGCAGCCCCTGCCTTTGATGGATCACTGTGGGATTTTCACTGTCCTATTCTTGCACATCCTGATCTGAAGGGAGAATGTTCTGGTTGTTTTTCCAGAATGTTCAGTTGAATTTGCTCTTAAGAGCACAAAATCTTGTGCCCAAGAGTGTCACCCTGGCTTGGGTGATGCCCTGTGAGCTGGAAGCAGCAGTGGGTTTGGGTAGAAACCAACTGTTGGATTGTGCTGGGAGACTGCAATTAAAGAGATTCTCTCATAGCTCCAACCCTGTGTTGAAGATGATGTGGCCTGAAGGGAAACTGAGCATCACTGAGGTCACCAAGAGACCTCTGACAGCAGCTACTCTGTTCAAGAACTCCATGATTGCACTGGTGGACAACCTGACACTGAAGGTAAAGATTCCTGTTTCAAAATTGACTTTGACTTCTGATGAGAAGAGTGTGGCTTCTCCCTGGAGAGATTCCCACCCTCCCACCCATCAGGAGCTGAGCTGATCAAAGGCAGAGAAGCCTTGTCTGTGCCAAATAAGATTTTGGCTGGGCAGGTCTCAAGGAGGGTCACCTCCGTCCCCCATGAAAAAGGTGGATTTTTGGTTCCTCCATGAGAAGTGCATCTTTCACTTGTAGGAAAGCCAGTCTGTCTTAGGTAATAATTATGATATGAAATCACCTTTAGCAGAACTCCTTGGGCAGAGGGCCCAGAGGATGCTGTTCATGATGGAGAAATTGTCTCTGGCTTCCCATGCCAATGGGAATACAAAAAGCCGTGTGAGTTCCTTCTTTCCTCCTCTTTGCCAGGCCACAGGGTGAGGTTGGAAAGCTTTTATTTCTCCAGATATTTCAGTTTTATGGTAGAAGGCATTGCCTGGGCAGCCAGCACGTTGTGTGATGGAGGGTGGGGAAGGGAATGCTCTGGGAAGGGGCTGTTGGAGTGACACAGCCAAGTGAGCACTGGGATCCCTGAGGAATACTGGGGTGTTACTGGAGCTGGATGGGCTTGCTGGACTCCTGACACTGGGGTGCAGCCCACAGGAGATTAACAGAGAGCCCAGGGTGCTGGGGTGTGTTGACATTCAGAGTAATTAAGCAATAAAGGGCAAAGTGCTCTGAGTGCCCTCTTGGGAATTATGGGAACAAAGGAAATGGGTCAGAGCACGGCCACCCAGTGCTGGCTGTGCACAGGAAGAGAGAGTTGCCCTCACTTCTTGTTTCCAGAGTTAGGACATGAAATCACACCTGATTTTTAGGGTCTCCCCAAAGGTGCTGGCACTGCCCAGGCTCCCCAGGGAATGGTCCCAGCCCTGAGGCTGCCAGAGCTCCAGGAGCACTTGAACAAGGCTCCCAGGGATGCACAGGCTGGGATTGTTGGGGTGTCTGTGCAGGGTCAGGAGTTTGACTGGAGGATCTCTCAACTCAGGATACTCTGTGATTCCATGATTGTGTATTTTTGTGTTCCTGTGCTGAAGTGAGTTTGATCTGAGCTCTGTAGGAGGGTCTGGGATCCACCAAAGCTGAGCCACTGCCGTGGGGAGCAGAGCCCCGTGGCTCCCCCCAGAATGTTTTGCCTCTGGGCTCCTGAGAAGATGCCTTGTGAGCCCAGCCCAAGGCCAGGCCTTGCTAAAATAGACACCAGTAGTCAAAATTGAGAGAGTGACTGTGTAGGCAGAGAGGAGCTTTCCTGGATGGCAAACCATGAGCTGTCAGAGCCAGGAAGGTGGCTGTGACCCTGGTGGGGATGGGGACAGGTTTCAGGCTGCTTCCCAAGGAGTCAAGACTGGTCTGATCTGTCCATCTTCCACATAATGTGCTGGCTGGCCCTGACCTGAATCTGGTACAGGTGTCAGGAGCTGCCAGGAACCCAGGGAGTTGCTTTGTGTTGTGAGAGGAGCAGTTGTTGGTGCTGCTGGCTGTTATTGCAGGTCTGGTCCTACAGGGTGGCCACGATCACTCGTGCCCAGCCCAGTGTGGGGAGCCTGAGGCAGCCCAGTAGGAGGTTCAGGACAGCAGGAATCACTGGGGGTGTTGTGGGGAGGGCAGTGATCAGGGCTCTGCAGGGAGCTGGGAGTGGGCAGGTTCAGCAGGCATCCGTGGAAAAACTTCCTTTCCTTGTTTATTGGAAAAATTATTCCAGGCCACCTGGTAGATGTAAGAATAGTCCAGAGAATGCTGCACACTGTGGTGGTTTGAACAATCCCTGCAGCTCCCAGCAGGGCATGGAGAGTTTAAATCCCACCTTATCCATCTTGAATCAGTGGGTACCAGCATTGCTCACTGAAGGCTGTCTGGTTTGGGTGGAATTAATTTGCTTCAGTGCATTTATCATCAGTATCTCCATCACAGCTACCAGCCTTTTCCAGGGTAGGCACAGCCAGGAGCTGTTTCCAAGTCAAATTCACTGAGAGGTTCCTGTGTGAATCTCAGTGCAGTCCTTTCCTATTTTTACCTGTCCTAAACTTTCATTGAGAAACTTGTATTGAAGCTGTTGGTGTTTTCCTGATTTTCTGTTGAATAGCAATGGAGAAAAGATTTCATTAGTATTGAGATACCAGTGCTGATAAACATAATTTAAACCCAGCATGCTCCAAAACCAGATTTCATGGAGTCACAGAATTGTTCAGGCTGGAAAAGCCCTCTGAGATCGAGTCCAACTGATCCCCAACATGGCCAAGGCCACCACTGCCCCAAGTGCCACATCCACATCTTTTTTGAACACTTCCAGGGATGGGGACTCCAGCACTGGGCAGCCTCTTCCAGGGCTTGACAACCCTTTCCATGAAGAAATTTTCCCCAATATCCAAACTGATCCTCCCCTGACCCAGTCTGAGGCCATTCCCTCTCTTCCTGTCCCTGTTCCCTGGAGCAGAGGCCGACCCCCCCTCCCTGCCCCTCCTGTCAGGGAGCTGTGTTGGTGAGACCCATCCTGCAGCCAGGCTTGTGTCACTTTAAAGGGTCTAAATTTTGGAGAGGTTCCTTAGGTAAGGCTCCTGAACACAACCTTTGTGTAGTTCAAGCAGTAAATCAGAGTGCAGAGAGCTTCTGTCTGGCTGCTCTGCCCTGAGCATCTCTGGGAGGTGACTTTTGGGATAGTTAATGATATGCACATGTCATTAGCAAGCCAATAATTGGGTATTCAGGCCATGCCTGCAACAACAGGATGCTCTGCCTCAGGTCACTGCCAGTTTGGACACTTGGCTCTTCTTCTGCAGGGTGAAGCCACTCTCTGATTTGGGGACACCATCACTGCAGCTCTAGGTGCTTTCATCCTTCCCTGCGGCTGTTGCTCATTTTTCCTGTGCTGAATTTGGGAATGAAGTTGCCCTAGTGGGAAATCAACAGTGACATTTTCTGTGTGTCTTGACTGTGGCTTGGACCCTGCAGGACTTTTTTGGGAAGCCTGTGGTCACAGCTGATGGAAACAGCTCTGAACACAGGGTTGCACAAACTGCTGAGGTCTGGGGATGTCAGAGAAATGAGGTTCTTTAGGGGAGGTAACACCAGTTCATGCTATTCTCAGCTGTTTCTCAAAAAACCAAGTTGCAGATAGGCTTGAGTTTTGTGCAGCTGGAGCTGAGGGTTTATTGACATTTCCTGGTGTTCCCAGTGCAGTCAGTGCTCCTTGTCTCACCTGGGCTGTTCTGCCTCAGTGCTTCTCTGAAAACTCCTTCAGACCACATTTACATGCTCAGTTCCTGCAGTCCTGGAACAGGATGGCAGCCCAAGAGCTCCTCTTTATTGATCCTCATGCTTGGCCTCCCTGCAAAGCTGCAGGGCTTTTGGCTGTAGCAAGAGTATCTTTAAATCCATCCCTTGGGGGAATAATCTCCAAAAGTGCCAGTTTGGTGGGCAGGAATAACAATAATCTTGGAATTTTAGAATTGTTGAGACTGGAAAGGACATTTAATTAAGATCATTGAGTTCAACCATCAGCCCAGCACCACCAGAATGTCAAAGTCTGTGGCTACAGTAGCTGCAGCATTTGTGGTTATTTATCTTTTCTTCCATTTAAAATAGCAACCTTTAAAATCCTCTTTTGTTGCTATTCCATTTTAAGCCTGGAATTCGGTGGTGAAGCAGAGCTCTGCAGTCTCTGAGAGGAGGGGCAGGTGTTGTGGTTACTGGGATGTCTCAGGAGCTTCCCTAGGGTCAGTGCCATGGCACTGCTGTTGTTAACAGTGCAGGGGCTGTTCTCAAATCTGGTTTTAATTTCAGCTTCTGCAAACACAAGTCCATATGGAGACACTGGAAATGTGGCTGGAAATGCAACACCTCCAATCCTGGGGGCAGTTTTGGCGCTCCCATAACAAGAAAGACACTGAGGGGCTGGAGCATGTCCAGGGAAGGGAAGGGAAGGGAGCTGGGAAGGGGCTGGAGCCCCAGGAGGGGCTGAGGGAGCTGGGAAGGGGCTCAGCCTGGAGAAAAGGAGGCTCAGGGGGGCCCTTGTGGCTCTGCACAACTCCCTGACAGGAGGGGCAGGGAGGGGGGGTTGGGCTCTGCTCCAGGGAACAGGGACAGGAGGAGAGGGAACGGCCTCAGGCTGGGCCAGGGGAGGTTTAGGTTGGATACTGGGAAAGTTTATTCATGGAAAAGGTGGTCAGGCATTGGCACAGCTGCCCAGAGCAGTGCTGGAGTCCCCATCCCTGGAAGAATTTAAAAGCCCTGTGGATGTGGCACTTGGGGACAGGGGTCAGTGGTGGCCTGGGCACTGCTGGGGATCAGCTGGATTCCATGATCTCAGAGGGCTTTTCCAGCCTGAACAATTCTGTGACTCCATGAAATCTGGTTTTGGAGCATACTGAGTTTAAATTATGTTTATCAGCACTGGTATCTCAATGCTGCTGAAATCTTCCAGATTTCCAGATTTTTTTGGGGCAAAAACGTCCCGTAGGTAGATAAAAGTGCTATGTTTCTTTCCAAAATCAAACCACTCAAAACAAAAACTGGCTTTTCCACTTGCTATGTGCCATTTCTCAAGAACATGTTTTACTGCCCAAGCTCTTTTCTGTGTGGTGGATTATTTTGGGTGGCTGTTTTGTAAATCCTGACCCTGTGATCAGCTGTGACTGATGATCTTCTCTGGGAACTCTCTGGACATGCATCTCCTCCTTGTTTCTTTTCTTTTTCTCCTCCTCTCTGTAACTCCTTTTGTCTGACTCTTCCTTCCATCTCTCCCTTCTCCTATCCAGGCTGACAGGCTTCACCTCTGCTAAGTTATAATGTCACCACTGTGACTGATTGAACACGTCCAGCACAAATTTGTCAGTCCTGTCCCATCCCTTCTCTCACATAAGGAGCTATAAAGTACAGAAAATAAACCCCTCAAGAAAGAGTTTGTTTAGGGTGCAATGGCTTAAAACCAGTTTGGTTTCTTTTCAACACTTAAAAATCTAAAAATC